ACAGTGTGCCTCTAGGGTCTCGGGATGGCAGTTGGTCCACTTTTGTCCAGATTGAATGTCTCAACAATCACTGGATGGATTGACATTAAATGTGGTGCAGACATCCATGTTGCCCAGAGGATGAATCCTAAGAACTTTGATGATCTCCTGACTTTTCATCAAGTGCCAACATTGCATCAGAATTTCTTTCGTCAAATCCCTCAGCCTCAAGCAGGAATATTAAACTCACTTTGCCCGGGGGCACTTTTGCCGGCCAGTTAATAAACAATTGTTTAATATTTACCAGATAAAATGAATAAACTTTAGGTTTGTTAATGTGGTAGAGTAGTATGACTCGGTTGTAATCTCTCTGCACAGATTGCTAATATGCAATTTTCAAAGTAATAGCCGAACATTAACTAATAGTGTTAATTTTATTGTGAATTCGAAGATGGTTGGAGTGCCACCCAGTACCCTATCACAAGTTGTGTTATGTGTATATTAGCAAATGTTATGATAAATATGAACATGGTAAACATTATACGGTACCTGCTTAACAAGTTAGCATTGTCATTGTGAGCATGTTAGCAAGCTGACAATATTGTATCTTTTGATAATCATTTTGTCTCTAAAATATCAGCAAATGTTAAAAAAATTGCCCTCACAATTTTGGTGACAGCTGTTCAAAACCCAAAGATGTTTAATTTTCAATACCATTATCTCTGACAGTTGAGATCACAAGTTCATTCTTTACCTTAGAAAATAGGCCAAAGTTGTAATATTCACCACAAGGCCACACTAATGGGCTGAAAGTCATGATCTGATCTGTAACACCGTTACCGTACGGATTTCCTCAAAGAGCAGCAGAGACACAACAAGTTGTGTCTCTCATTCTCTCGTCAGTTTCGCACGCTTGCAGTCCCATCTTTGTTTGTCTCTCTCTGTGCCATTGTGTGAATACCAATGAGCACTGAGCCGTTATCACCAGAGCCTCGGATGACAGCATCTGAGTGATGTATCACTCATCTGCCTCAGTTTTTTGCCAGATACAGGATGTGTTTTCTTACTTGGGAAATGAAATGTCAAATGCAGATTCAAAGTTGTCATGGCTCAGCAATATCCGGGACTGTTTTAACTTAAGATGAACAGTCTATTCCCCCGTCTCTAACCTTTTGTGTGTGTGATGGAATTTTACAACTGTATACAGATAAGAACTGATAGCCGTGGTGTTTGTTTGCTGGGCCCATGGATAAACTGAAATATAATCCTTCCAACTGTTTTTGATCAAAGAGGTAAAGCTCCGCTATGTTCTCGCCACAACTCGATTGTAATTCTCCGGGCCTCTCCTCTTTGTGTTTAGCCTATTAGAGGGCTGTGCCTCTGTCCTCTGCTAAGTTTACTCTCAGAGTTGAAATGTTTTCCCCTTGGGCGCCTTGAGCCAGCCCCCTTCCCCTTCCACCAATGTGGGGGTGAGCTTTCCCAGGACAAAGAAATGAATATATAATGGAATGAAAAAAGAGGGGGTGGGAGAGACAAAGAGACAGCGGGTGTGTGAGTGAGAGGGAGGAAGGGAATGTGGGAGCAGGAGGGAAAAGATATAGAGGGCTTGACAAGTGCTTGTCAAAGGGTTCAACACTGCTGCCAAGCTCTGAGTGCAGGGACACGGAGAGAGGAAGGAGTAAATAGAAACAATCTGTCTACTTTTCCCCTTTTATAGACCCGATTGCTAACTCATTACAGACTCCATAGGGTGTGGGATACACAACACACTCTGTAGTTAGAGAGTTGCTGGAGAGCAGCTCAGTCCAACTGCGTCCCCCCTCCATCTCCCCTGGTCCTCCAGCACATGGTACAATCCATTTAAAAGGCTGCATGTCATCTCAGTGTGTGCTGGGTCCTCTCTGAGAGCAGCTGCTCACAGCACATTCTCCTCGGCGGGAGCACTCACTTTCCCCTCTGCCTGCTGAGCTGCATCTCTTTTTCTCCTCTGTCTTTTTTTTTCTCTCTTTCTCTCTGCAGATTCACATTGACATACCGAGAACTAATCCTCTTATTCCTCTCTTTCAACAAGCTTCTGTCCAAGAGGTGAGGACCCCCCCAACCCCCCACCCATGCTGCACACACACCACCTCTACCTAGCAGGGTTTTCCCATCTGGTTTTTGACAGATAATGGGTGGTAACCTCACGAGTGGCGCTGATATTGCGGGGCATGAAGACAAATAAAGGATCCATGGGCTCAAGGGACAGTTAAATAATAAATACCAAATCAATTAATGGTATCAGTTATGTTAGTATAGTTATAGTTATAAAACTCGAAGAAAAAATCAGTATGAAAAATATAAGCCAAGGGAAAACCCTCGCTTCAGCACACTGCATGGTCTGGCATGGGCGCACACACAGAAGCACAAAGTGAGATTACATATAGAAGATATTAAGTTATACCTGCAGTCATGCATGTGATCAGATACACATACACTTCCACTCTGCATGGTTAGTACTTTCTTATGTTTTTGTTCTGCTTTGTGAGTGCTACTGAACAAAGCATTTCTTGTTACAGTTGGTTACTGTGTTTTAGGGGATATTAGAACTAATTATTTTAAAACCCTCTTAAGCATTATGTTTGATAAAATGATAATAATTATCAGTGGTAGTTTGGGCACATTAGGAAAACATACAGCAAGGCTCACATTACTGGAACACTAAGCTATTCAATTATTCTAAGTAGCTTTGGATAACAGTGTTATTTAAATACTTGAAATGTAAATGTGATACAAGTCCATTTTGTTTCTGCTGTGGTGTAAGAAGTCGGCTCAGCGGGCTTGAGGTACAGTGCAGCTTCCCAAAACAACTTAACACCAAAATGAACTTGATTCCATTCATTCATAAGGGGTTAAGTTTGTCTTATTATTACAGTGCTTGTGGGAGCTCCTGTCATACATAGAACCACTGGCCTGAGAAGCAGAGAACTGAAAACCCAGATAGAAAAATCCCATAATGAGGTGCAGGCTAATGAGGTGGCCAGGGCTTGTAGACTGCTCCGTGTATACACCTACACATAGGTGCGAGAGCAAGAACACACTTACAGATACACTCCTGAAAGAATACACGATCACGTACGCATGTGTACACAAGGTACAAAAACAAAAAAAGGGACATAGAGACATTCTAGCATTTATCCGTTTCCACACTCACACACATGTACAGGTGCATTAATTCATACACTCTGAGTCACACACACACAGCGCCCCAGGCAACAGCACCTTCCTTTGCCCCCGTCTTGTACGGGATGCGACTCGGGGTTGTAACCAGGGAAGTAAGGAGAGAAATAAACTCAGACACGGAGGAGGCTGCCTCTTTTTTTTACCTATAATCTTACATACAGTTTGCATTCTTACTGTATATATTCTACGTCTTCCTGCCCTTACCTCCTTTTCGCTTCTCTCAGAACCCATGTTTTTCTCCCTCTCGTCCCCACACACTCTTCTCGTTGCGTGCAAAATAAAAGCCACCAGTTGAAATATTCTAGCAGCGTGCGCTCATATATATTGGTATGCAACAAACTCCAAAGTCTTTTTTTTAAAAATGGTTATGCATGCTGCGGCGGCACCACCTGAAAATCACCTCTGCTTCATTTCATTCACTTGTTTGTCTCTGCGTCCCCCCCCACCCCACCCCATGGGGCTCAGAGAGATTTAGTCGAGATGGAAGGCAGTCAACAGTCTGTTCCATTTCAGGGGGAGAGAGGGATATTGAAGCAATTCTGCAGTGATTTCCTAAGTGGTATCTAAGTGTTTGAGTTTTTCTTGTTTTGGAGAACAATACAGTCTTCAGGAGATGTTGATAATCTGCAATTACAAGTTCCCAATGTGAAAAGAAAACGTTTAGTTGTGCCTCCAAATTGTGATTACAGGCTCACAGAGCAGGATTTATAAGTAGACCTCGGTGCATGCCATATTAAAAGAAAAATCTGATTTTCTTTTTTCATTTCAAGCATTTAACTGATTCTTTTCCAATGAATAAATCAAAAAGAATGACTACAAAAGTAGCATTTTTGTGTTGTTGTTGATGAATACTTTGGACGATTGAGCCCATGCTCTTTTGACAGTGGAATTATCTTGCTATCTTGTTGTTGTTTTCACTTGTCACATGACAGTGAAGAGTTCTCTGACCCTCTTGTATCAATTTAGTTTCTACCTCTCGAAATTAGCCGTACCCGGGGCCCTCTAGGTCTGGGACTTATTCGATGGAGTTATTGCATTACGACATAAGAGACACAGGGAGGCTGATTTCTTGTCCTAGAGATGCACCGTGTTATAAGAATAATCTGAAATTAATGTGAGATTAACATAAATTGAATGAATCTAGTTTCCTGTCTTTTGAGGAGTGAGTGAACTCCGTTTAAACCTGCAGACAATGCTGTTTGGTTAGTGTTTGACGCATGCAGTTTCTCCGCGTCTTTGTTTTTTTTTTCTGCTTTTCACGTGCAAACACACCACGGCGCCCATTGTAAACCAAGTGTGGGTAGGCTAGTGTGTACGTGCATGGGTTCCCTCAAAGTGGTTCTCTGTGTAGGTGCCAGTGTGAAATATGCATGTCAGCTTTTGAGGTTGCATGAAAAGAAAGTCCCATTACCCACTCCCCCTGCTAGCAGCAGCACCTCTCCCTGTCCTGTTTGATAGATGGGCCTTTGATAAGGGAAGAAGAGGAGGTGTGATGTTTGGAGGCAGGTAAAGCAGATTTGAGGAGAAAAGGGAAAGCCAGAGAGAGTTGCATCTTACCAATCTCTCAGACTATCTTAACATTGATTGAATTACTTTAAATAAAAATGAGAGGGTGTGCATGCACAGCTTCCAAAAAAATGACATTGGCATAGCTGCCCCCCCCCCCCCAAAAAACAATGAGCTATGAGGTTAT